TTGAAATTAGTTAGTGTTCCTGCTCAAGTAGTCATTATCAAAGTTATAATTTCTAGTTGGGAGATAATCCAATAAAACTGAGTGTTTTAAAACTCGGGAAATACAAGTTTGATAAATTAATATTAGTAAAAAGCACCTAGAAAACAGTTATTTGCCTTTATACATCTCAAAAGCTTACCTGAGTGAGTTGTTCCAGTTTTAGGTACTGATGAGGGATTTGCTGGAACGTTGAAACTTGAGATGTACCCATCTGCTATAGGCCAGTTTGAGTACATTACCATAGAAGTGTGCAAATTTGTGGCTAATAATACTAAACACTCCTTAAAAAAACTAACCGTTTTGTTCCCCACTCATATTCCTTACAGTGCCATTTTCCTATTTTTTTTTTTAATCTGCCTATTAACTCAATCAGTTTCAGAGTATACAGTTTCGCATTTTCAAGTTCGAGTTTAATTACTTTTTGACTTGTAAAGTTGAATTTATTCTCTTTTTTCCTTATTTTTCTGTTTATTAAAAAAATGAGCATTTAAGAAACAATTAAAAAAAGCTGTTCTATCTTACTTTCAATAATGCAAAGTTTGTAACTAAAATATAAACTTTTAAGTTAATATTTCAACGCAAACCTGAAGAAAGTGATCAACTATGACGAGGTCGACACTTTGAGGCCTCTTCGTCAACTCTTTAACTTCAGCAGAAAGCATTACTTTTGGGCATGACCTTAAGTACCTCTTGACAACATCAGTGGCAAGCACAAGGCCTCTCATATCCCATAACCTACGAAAATCGATAGGAATGTTCATTTCATACATTAAAGAATCCGCATTAGACATTTCTTCTTCTGAAAGTGAGGCGTTTGTTAAAAAACGTTGTTAATATAACTTTTTCAAAGTAAAAGACGATTGTCTCAGATCAATCAGAAAATAGATGAGGAAGCCCAATAGACCCAAATAAACAGTTTTATACAATGTAGAAAAAGTTACCGGTCATGCTGGTATAATCAAACATTATTCTTTTCCAGGTTTCAGGAATCTGCAAAGGCCCCGAGCCGAAGTTGAAAAGGTAAAGCTGCATCCATGTAATATTCCAACCTTAAAACAGCATTATTCTGTGAAACTGTAGAATTTTGCTTAAAATTACATAATCTAAGTTTTTTTGATCTATATTAATTTACCTATGTAATATTTTTTTAAAAAATGTTAGGCAAAAAAAAAAAACAGAATTAGTTATCCAAGAAACACTTAGAGTGACTTAAATTTTTTTTGCAGCTGTTTATAGACACCACAAACAATTTTTAGTGAGAAACAAAGTTTTGGGATACTAGCTGATATTTCATTTTCCAATCTTTTTACGCTTTACAGCCAAAAAACATCAATTACATAAAATTTTACGGTTTGTCTGTTACGCATACAGCTTTTCTTTTTCGTATTTTGCTTATGCGTTTACAAACTTTTCACAGTTATTTGCTTTCCCAATGTAATCAGTAAAAAAGATAAGTATGCATTTTTAATAAGTATGCTAATATGCATTTTTCAAGTATGCTAATATGCACTATTCACTTGATTTCGGAAATCTGATACATTCAGATAATCTTTGGCTTTAGAAAAGGCTATTTAAGCGAAAAATAAAGCTTTATATAGCTGAGTTGTTATCAATTGTAAAAATATGAGAAATAAAGTATGAAGAAATGATATAAAATAGTCAAAAGTTAACAAGCTGACTGAATAAGCAAATACTACCAAAACTGGTGATTTTGTAGATACCCAAATTTAATACCATTAGCAATAGTAAAATAGAGTAATAAGGTATTGGTTTCTTCTGCGCAATTTAGTTCTCAGAAATTTAGTTTTAGATTCTTTTTGAAAACGTATACTTCAATAAAACACGTAAAAGAAAGATCGAATTTCTAGTTTGAATAATCGTTTTACATTTTTATAGTGAAGAGAACAACGAAAATAGACCAAAAACGCGTGCAAGGACTGTTTTGAAAAAAAGTTTTTTTAAACTTTTTCAAAAGCTAAAATAACGCTCTTTCAACCTGTTTTTTTTCGCGAGAAGTGGCATTGCATGGTTTAACTTCTCCAATCTTCAAAACAATTTCTTGCCTAAAAAGTGGAAGACTGGATACCGTTATTTTAATATAGTCTTTGACAACAATACATGATTATATATTTTAGAAAAACATTTTGATTTTAATTACAGTGAGCAAAAGCCGTTCAAAATTTAGACACTTTTCTTTCTGTTTCCTCTTTCTTTTTTAAAAAAATCCTATTTTTTTTGTACCGTAATTCACGAGTTCAAATAAAACGCCATTGTAATTACAATGACATTTAAGTCTTTAGACAAATAGTCTAAGTTGTACAGTAACTGTATAAGGTGGCTCAAACTCAATCTGGAACAGAAGATGTTTGTAAAAATAGTTTTCTCAAGTCTTTTCTGCTGTACAATACTTTATACATAGCTTTTGTAGTTTTGTTCTATAATAAATGAGGGATAATTATCACCTCAGAAACACTTGTAGGTTACTGCACTGTTTTTCTGCGAAAATATAACTTTAAGTTGCTGACAAATATAAAAATTTCTGTCATGGTTTTATCGGTCAGAATTTTGTGTTACAAAGGCAGATTAACGTTTAATGTCAAAAATGTAACAGTAAGAAAGAAGCGACTTTCAATTAATAGCCGTTTATGATTCATTTGAGATTAATAAGCACAAGATTCTCTAGCTGCTTAATAAAATAAAGATAATCCAAAAATTTTTTGCTGGTGATGAAAATGCTTCTAATTTATACCGTTTTAATGCCGTTTGTAAATTTGTTAAAATGGTGTGTAGATCAATTTCTAAACTTCTATTTGTTGTTTGTTTGCTATTTAGCCTTTAGATCCTAAAACTCTATATTTACATAAATTTGTTTTCAATTTAAGATCTTTAATGATATTAAAAAGTAACAGAATTATACGATGGCTTTTTTTATTCAAAACTATACAAGCTATTAATTCCTCTCAAAGTTTTTGAAAAAAATTTTCGGTTTTTTACCTCAAACAAACACTAGTGTTCAAAAAAAAAAAAAAAAGGTGTTAAGAAACGACATTGTTTAAAACGTCAACTGTACAGAAAGAACAAAGAGCTGAAAAAAACAGCAAACAAACAGCCGATTTTTGTGGAACTTATTATAGATTTGATTGACCAATTAATTCAACTTAACAGAGATAAAGTAAAACATCTGTTTTTGAACAGCTTAACAAAGCAACAGTTAATCTAAGAGCGTTTAATTTGAATCTGAAACATTACCGTTTTTCATATCCATATTGCTATAATGCTCATTCTTTGTCGTTTGTTTTCTCTTTAAGGGTGCAATAGTAACTTTTGCTGACAGTTTTAAACAGATCAACAAAAAGGAATTTTATTAAAGGAGATGTCAATCTGTCGTCTAAGTTACGCAAATGCTATACAATTCTTTTTTTTTGATCAAATACTGTTTATTTCGCTCCGTTTTTTTTTTTTTACCAAATTTCAATTAGACTTGTTTTAAAGACCATTTTGTTGACAGCAATTTTAAGTTGAAAGATTACTTCTCGTTTCGTAATAAAAAAGTTGCATCACAACGATAAATTTGTTAAATTTCTTTAAAAAACAAATAATTTTTTATTAGGAAAGGGAAGAAAGTCATGTACCATCAGAAGTAACTAGACTGATATTGAAAAAGCGTTAAGAAATTTTCCAGTAATGGTTTACACACAGTTTTTGGAGGTGTAACAGCAAAAAAAAAGTGTCTACAAGCAGATCGTAAACTGTTCATGAAGATCGCAGTTGATAGAACTCAGATCACTTCAATCAGAAGTATTTTGCATTTGGTAGTCTCTTCAGCTGTTTTTAAATTACTAAAATCGTTTAACTTACTTTTCGTTTATTTCATTTTTATTAGCAGTTATTATTAACAGTTCAACAGTGCTATTTCTACTTTCTATCTTTTTCTTTCAAAATTCTTCTGTATTCTGACAAGTACAGTCAGCACATGAATTCTGCTACTAAATAATTTACAAAAATAAAGCAGTTTTTTAAACAAGTTATATTGTTGTCTAAAATAAAAAAATAACTTTTAATTATATAGCAAAATCTAACTTTTTAATTTTGAACACGTAGTTGTATTATAAATGAACTAACTAATTGACTTTTTCAAACTTTGTGTAAAAGTAAGTAGTTTTCTAATATTTCAAAAAGAAAATTGATTGATCTCTTGTCAGCAATGTAAAAAAAAGAAAGCATAAAAAAAAAAAACAAAAAAAAGAGGACAAAAAGTTGGTCAAAAATTACTGTTAGATCACATTCAAAAGTGGTAATTGTAAAATACGAATCAACTCTAGTTTTCCAATAATTACCAATGCTATTTTTTATTGCAACATTTGATTAATAATAGTTCTTTTAACGTAAAAACAACTTAAGCACATTAAAGAAAAAAAAAACAGTAAATTGTCTTGTTTCAAAGACCTTATTCGTCAAAAAATACAACTATAATACAAATGTAAAGAACTAGTCTTTCGCAGCCTTAAAAAAAGGTAACCAAAAGACTGATAGGTTTAAACAACGCTAAAAAAAATTTAGCTGTTAACAGTGAGAAACGATTATTTCAGCATTTAAATACGTAGTATATTAGTTCTCGATAAAAAGAACAGTAATAAATGTAGAATAAGTCAGAAAAACAAAAAGAAAAAAAAGTATATTTGTCGTTGTTATATGAGGTTCAAAATTTACTGTTCAAATGTTGTCCATTGTTTGAACACAATTGTTTGAACACGTAATTTTTGTCGATGCTGAACATGTAAAAAAAAGTGACTTGACTATATAAATAAATATTAAAGGTAAGTGTTAATGCAGGTTATAAAATGCATGCATGCAACATCTCAACACCGTTGTCGTTTTCTATTTTAATCTCGACAGTAACAAACTAAAGAAAAAACAGTATTCTTGGTGCAGTACCTGTACTATTTTTTCGTAAATACATTACACAAGCTATCTACGTCCAGCTGTCAACAAGATTTTATTACCAGGCCCAGATGCTAATTATAAACCAGTTTCACCTGTGGGGAATACCGAAATACCAGCGCTTATTATTAAAATAATTAGAGTTCTGCTAATAAACCAAAAAGTGGCAAGCCGTTTATTACGTACATGAAATTGGAAAATCCCAAAAGTCAAAAAAATTTTTATTTAAAAATAAAACTTTGTTTGTTCATAGAAATTTACCTTTGCATGTTTTTAACTTAGGTATGGTTGACATAGTTGCTTTGAAAAGTCTTGTCGTACACTACCAAAGTTTAACTGTTAGAAATAAAATGTTCACTGGACTGGTTAATATGTATGTTACGTACAACCGCTACCCCAAAACTTAACTCACTTATACATATTTTGCTGTTCGTAATGTATGTAACAAATTAGAGAAAACATTTCCGTCTTTCTTTTTTTCAAAACTTGATCATTTTCTTTTTTTTTTTT